CACTCAAGGCTGGCAACCCCCACCCCTTTGGAATGAGTTTTGAGTTTTTTAGTTTGAACCTGATTTGTGACTGCAACTTCTTTAGACATTTCATCTGCCTCGTTATCAACTCTGACTCTCATTGCCCTTACTAGTTGGTCTATGATAAGAGGAGGATCTGAAGCTCTCTGCAGTCTGCCTGTTTTGTTGCCCACCCTTTTCCATGTCTTGAGACTTTGAGTTTGGCCTTCTGGGTGAATTTCTGGAAGTAACTCTAAGTGATGTGATGGGAATTCATTCTCTACCTCCATCACTGTGGATTCCACTAACTGAAGTTTATTTACCACCACTCACTCTCCTAGTGTTGGTGCCTTGTTAGCTAAGACAAAAGATGCGGCAGCAACTGATTTTGTTGGAGAAGGAGAGTCCTCATGACTATGAATTAGTTGCTGATTATTTTCAGGCTGGCTTGATGAGGTTCCCTGGGCAGTAGTGTTCTCAGCCATTGAAGGGGATGCCCTTGGGGAAGACGATCTTGTCCCAGAGACATTACCAGGTGCCCATCTTTGCCCATCCGCTGCCTTCAGCCAATCCCCGTATTGCCCTTCTTTCATAGAGTTATAACTACATCTTCCATCTTCTTTGGACATCCACGGTCTAAATGACCTATCTTTCCACAGTAATGGTAAAGGTTCATAAGCTTTTCATACTTAAACCGTACATTGACAATCTGATAACCCAATAGAATGTTGAGGAATCTAGGAATTGGCTCCTCAAGATTTAGAGTAACCAGTAATCGCAGGAGTTTTCTCCCATGGTTACCAAGAGTGGCAATTGTGACATTTTTTAGGCTCTTAAAAGCTTTACCTATCTTGAAACCCACTTCAGAACTTAGCCAGTTTAGGGGAATGTCGTGAACCTGAACCCACAGATTAAGTTCCTGAAAACTTGGGTGATTACTGGAGATTCCACTAGTCCAATCCCTCAGAATGAGATACTGATTATCCAAGCTCCAGTTGGTCCCAGCTGCCACTTTTTTCATATCTTCTCGGTTTTGGAAAATGAATTGGAAATAATTTGGGCTGAGCTCTTTCACCTCCATAGGCTGGCTGAGTTTCCAAATCTGTGACATTGCGCGCCTAGTTCCAATCCAACTCGCTGGCCTATCCCCAATGACTTTGCCAAAAAGGCTTCTCTGACATTCATCATCACTGTTACGGATATCATCTTGAGCAATATCGACAATTTTTGCCTCCCTCTCCGATAGAGAGAAGTCTTTTCAATCGATCAGACAGATCTTCCTCTTGATTGTTCTGCGATGGGTCCTCCATTGAAAGAACCCTAACTGATAAGTAGACCAAGAGACAGAGAAAAAAAAAACAAAGAATAAATGGGGGAATCAATCAGAGGGGGTGAAAATGAATCAGAAATAAAGAGATGCTAGAAAAAATCAGCGAGAATCACTGAGCAAAACGATCGGAAGTCGTCGGAAATCTAACGCTCTCATAGAGAGAATAGTGCAATTATTCAGATATTTAGTTAATGTTTTTTTATATACGCTTATGAAAAAAAGTACTATATATATTAAACTATTTTTGGTCCATTTATTAACTCATTGAATGAAAACCTTGGATTATCGTGCATTAGTTAAATTTATAATACAATAACATTTTGTTCACATAAATACTAATAAAATGATGTACAAAATATTCTTAAATCATTGATCATGTTGTCATAAAACATTATTAATATGATTATTCGGAGCTTCGACTACATTACATTTATCGTAATAAAATAATTTTAGTATTAAAATTTATATTTATTTTCAATTATCGATTTGGTCTGGCCAAATGACCCGTAACTTTGTCACTCAGGATTAACTTCAGTTGTGTCATGTTTTTTGGACTATTTTAATTTTTAACTAAAAGTAATTCAATCAACTTGGACAGTAACCTAATTCAATCACCCGGGTGTTCTAAATAAATTTCCTTATTCTCCTTAAATATATATGATATGGGATACTATACCCAAGGGAGTAAACCGGTCGAGTAGGCCGAGCAAGCCGCCTGGTCGAGCGAAATCCAAAAGGAGTGGTCATGGTCGAACATCACAGGATTAAGAGCCTCTGGTGGAAGATAGCTAAAAAGAGATTTCAGTACATGGAGAACATGTCCAGCCAAAACCCTCGGGTAGCAAACCTGACCTGTATCAAATGGTCGTCTGATCGACCAAAATCCAGACTCGAAGCAGCCAGCGCTTCACCTCAAACCGACCTATACTTAGTCGAGTCCTCGAAGATAAGACGGAAACTCGGGGGATTTAAGCCCCACATGGGCAAAGCCACGTGGCATCATCTCATTTTTTTGCGCCTCATAACCGCCCCTGAGATATTCTGACAGAGGAATCATACTATCGAGCAGTTAGGGCAGCAAGCTCATCACATCGGGACAGCCTTATAGAAATAGGTACCTCACCCCTATATATAGGGGTGAGATGCGTATTTTCAGAGAGCACATTCATGCTATTCTATATTTTTCCAGAAGCCATCTTCTAGAAATACTTATTTAAGCATCGGAGGCTCTTCACCAGAAAACCTAAAGATAAATCAATTATTTCTTACTTTTTGCATATTCATAAAAAATAAACATAATATTTTTTTTATAAATTTAAAATTAATTAATGGATATTGCAATCGTCCCTATGACACGATACGAGCGTGAGTTACTACATAACATATATATTTAGTATATCGATTAATGTTTTTATAGTATATCATTTATAAGTTATTAAATATTATAATTAAATGGTATTATAATGAAGAAAGTGTTTTAAAATAAATTATATTCTCATTTTATATATATAACCTAAAGATAATTTTTTTAAATATTATTTTACATATTTTTAAATAATTATTTATAATTCATTTTAGTAATCTATAATAATAATTATTTTCTTTATGCGAACTATAATAATAATTATTTTCTTTATGCTTTTAAATAAAGATTATTTAAAAAAAAATATGTAATGCTAAAAAATTACAAAAATAAAAGAATAAAACTACAGAATTTCATTTTTGTAACTAAAGTGTTTAGTGAAAAACTACAAATGCTATTAAATATCGAACTTTTTATATATTAATAGATTACTAATTTTTCTGATTTAACTTGGTATATTCTTTCACAAAAATTTTATGGAGCCATCGGATGGTTTTCTTATGGAGTCATACACCACTTAATGTATTGACACCTGTCAAAAAAGTGTATTTATTGCAGGACACGTGTCCATACACTATTGGTAAATAAGTGTGGATGACTCCATATGCCGAGCCATCCGATGACTCCATAGCAAAACTCTATTCTTTCATTTCACTAGATTCAAATATGCAAATGTAACGTCAATGCAATGCTTACTTTGCATCGTGATCCAGTACTTACTAACTGTTAAATTTTGGTTAATTGTTGTCCCACATCGGATGTATACCAAAGATGTGTAGAATCTTTTTAGTATAAATAGGTCATTTGTCATTGGGTTACAATTGCACCTTATTCTATTATCTTATATACTAGTTTGACTTCGACTGTGCACAGCACAGTCGGCCCAAATTCGCTTTTATTTATTACTATAACTTCATGATTATAATTATGTCTTATATTTTGTAATAATATTTCCATGTGATGTTCTATATAAGACATTATTATCATTGCAAAGTTACTCTGAACATAGCATACCTGTCATGACTTTGTTCGTAATCAAGGCCAATTAGATCTTTCTCCCCGCCTTTTAAAATCGCAGACTTGAGAAGTACTACCAATTACCTAGCAAATATACTTATATAAAGAACCATAAACAACATGTGAATACAGATTTTCAATTTTTCCGATGGAGATATCGACGGCGGGCTTCCGCCTATTCATACTAAGACCACTGACATGTGGTGGTAGAAGTAAAGAGAGGCAGTGGGAGCTGGAGGGAGAGCACAAGAAAGGGATTTCCATTTTTCCTGATTTATTTTCTGAATTTCTATAGTCTCCATTTTGACTCACGTTGGAGTTTTTATTCGTGTTCATATTATTATTATAATTTGCTTTGAAAATTGACTGGAAAACAAGAGTAAAATTTGTTGCACTAAACAAAAACTGCATTGTAATCTTGTTAAAAAAATATTTTATAAATTGTATGTTATGTTTTATTTTCTTTATGATCAGTGCAAGCAATGATATTCTCAAAGCATTAAAAGAACAATTGAAAGAATGCATATCGTAAAAAAAGAAGCCAAAATTCTTTGTTGCAGTAACCGAGGAGAAAAATATAGCACCAAAATGAAATCACAACCTTAATTACAATTGTAAAAAATGTTAAATTGATGCTAACAAATGCTCTGCCACAAAATCAATATAATCTGACCAAAAAAGATCCCTACAATGTGATCCTTCAATCTGTACATAAAAAAACATATATACACATCAGTACACCTGAAAATAAGCATATTTTAGTTAGTAATTCGCCCCTAAAAGTTTCACGAGTTATGATTATAGTTTTCATGTTGGCATGATTAATGCGAGAGCTAATAAAATAAATTCATAAAATGCAAGAGAACAGAATATCCTTCCTGGTAATAAATATGATAACAAATCAAGTTTTACATGTTACTTATCCACAATGATAGCAAAAATATGTTTATGAAACAAATCTACACAACAGCAAAATCATATCATAGTAACAACTAAAATAGAGCAAGAAATGTTCCATTTTTGTTTGGTTAGTCAAGATTTACCTCAATGAGACGTGAATTGATACAAAAAGAAAAAGAAAAAAAAAAGTTCAGTTTATCTCATTTCACTTTTTTTTCTCAACAATCCAACTAACACATTTTAAAGTAATAAGTAAACATTATTTCATATTTTTCAACAAAAAATAATCACCCATCACATATTTCTAATTACCAATCACCAGTAACGACTAAATGCAGCAGTATAGATTACTAATGCAAAGAACTTATTCTTGCTAACAAGGCCCTCTCCTCTGTAAGTATGTTCAAGACTTTCACTTCCAAAGATGACAACGCCTTTCTTCTTGGAATTTTTCTTTCAGTTAGTAAAGCTTTCACTAATTCATCATCTGCCATTTTCGGAATATAACAAAAAATCACAGTCACAACTTAAGACTATACTTATATGAAATGAATCCAAAAGTTATTAACATGTTTCTTAATTATTACATTACCAACAAAAATTATACAGCTAAAACTAATTTTGGGCATTGATGGCTCCAATGGAAATGCCTCCAACACTAAAAAATATAGATAAGAAACCAAAATGTCAACAGTTTGGTCACACTTAAGAATGAACATAAGAGATCTCACTTATCATTTAAAGAATCCCATTGCTTTGGAGCTTTTTGCTCTAGAACATGGTAAAGTTGAGAAAGGCTGGGTTCGTCTGCGTGAGGACTTTTTCTAAGTCGAGGAGCATCAGATATCGACAGGGCGACAACCAATTGAAGGTGGAGTACGGTAGACCACAGCCCTCTTAACACCCTGCCACCCTGCCGATTGAGGAACAACATAACAATACCACTGTTAAAGAATTTTATCAATTTTATTGACTGATTGACTCATACAGACCATAAAAGCCAAACACCCGCCTGAAGTTATCGTCGCACAGTTAGAGACATGGGACCTATATCTCTTATAGCAATGCCCCCACAGGTAATGACAGTTACTACTTAATGACCAATATTTAACATACACTTGGGTTCTAATACTCTACTTTCTAAATCTCTATCAACTTGTGCGATTGAAAAACATGAGATGGCTCAACTGTAAGAATTGTACACATATCAAGTAAGAGGAGGAGCCAAAACAATAATAATAAGAACTAAATGTCACAAATTAGCTTCTAAAACATAGTTTGCTCCATGCATTGAGAGGGCTTACTCATTGTTTTTTTCATGCATTAAAAAGTACTCATAATCAATGGCCTTTTCACAATTCACACCAATAACATAATTCTTTAAATTTAGCTCTCACCTTAAAAACATTCCTTTCACTCTGTAACTTCTCGATTACAGAATCACTCACACGGGTTGTCCAATCGAAGCAAAAAATTGCACTCGAAATACAAAAAATAATACCCGCAGAAAAAGCCAAAAAGTTCATATTTACCCGAATGTATCGGCTGAATGAATTCGATTCGCTGCTCGGCGGGTCTCCCTCTCACACTGTCTGCTCGCCGCCCTGTCCGTCTCCCACTCTCCCATCCACCTTCTTGCGCCTCGGCGGGTCTCTCCTATCTCTCTATCATACCTTTTCGCCATCGCGGTCACAATTGCTTCTTGCACCGTCCTCGGTTGACCATCGTCCGTCGCCTCGCCGCCGCCGCCGCCGCTAGGGTTTATACCTTTTGATAAGTTTGGATAGCACAAAAGAAGTATTTTTAGGCCTGCAAAACGATAGCACAAACCAACAATGAAGACAACAAACCACAATTACCTTTAGGTGGAGTCGGTCCCAATTTACGGGAAACAAATCACACCATCGAACCAGGCAAGAGCCTCGCCGGCCAAGTTCCCGACGGCTATCAGAAATCCGTTCAATTTTTCGACCACGACTTTCGTCACCTCATCAAATCCATTTTTCTGTGTGTGTGAAGAATAAATGAGCAGCGAGGGTTTTTTCTGTGTGTGAAGAGTGAATGAGCTAGTGTTTCATTTTGAGAAGATATGTTGAGAAGAGTCTTTTGCTTAATAATGAAGGAAAGACAAAACGGTGTCGTTCTGCCTACAAGATGTCACAAACAAAAATGAGGTGCTTTTGGTCATTGAATGAAATAGGATGCAGGGAATGAGCCACGTGGCGCCACAACAAAGTGAATGCATTTTCCCTTATAAGAATAAGAGAGATTAGAAGAAAATCCTTAATTAAAGAATGCTAATTTGTGGGTTGTTTACCCATAATTGTATTTTGTTGGTGAATTTAGTAAATTTGACGTTTCGATAGAGAGTTCGAAGACGCAGACAATATTGGCCAGATTCCGTTATCAATTTTGTGTTCTTTTTTCTTTCTCATCTTTTATTTATTTGTGTTGACTTATTTTCGTTAGTAGTAGTGCTTATCATATTTGTCGTAGGGGTATTTCTGTTCGGAGCGTTTGTTGTTTTACCCAACACTAACAATTCCTAGTTCAATATCACAATTTCATTATTATTAAAATAGGGAACCTCTTCATGTAAAACATTCAAAATGAATATTGCAATCACAAATTTAGTTGGGAGATGACAGCAAAAGATGGTAGATAGTCATTAAACAGCTATGCATTCTGACTAAGATATTCCGTTAAAAAACCAAACCTGGTTCATGTAAATTTACACGGCCTCATTATCCGCCTTGCGGCTCCACAGGCGTCGACGGCTCATTCCCAGCAACCCATTATGCATATCCCTTTTGTTTAATTTTCTTTTTCTTCCCTGTCTCGTTATCTCCCTCTATTTGGTGCCCACAAATGAATTTACGAACATAATCATATAATTTACGATATCAATATCAATATATTTAGCTGCAGAAGAAATTAGACTGTCTGTCTTTTGAAGAAGGGTTTCTGGCAGATGAGGAGTCTCTCATCGCTGTTGTTCTCGATCTCAACAACTCGCGCATCCCATTTCAGATGCGTCGTTAGAGATCTGGCATACTCGATCGCTCTACACCTGTCTTTCAGAATCAGCCACCCCTGCATGATCCGTTATCTTTTAAAACAAATAATACACTCTTGAATTTGTTTCTACTAGGAAGATGCACGTCTTGTTTTTTACTTAAATCTATTTCTATTATTAGATTTACAACTAATGTATAATATAATTTTCTTATGCAAAATGGTGTATTTTATGATAAACAATAATAAATGTTTTTCTTACATTTAAAACTACCTTTAAAATAACCAAATCGAAACCTAACGTCATACGTAGAGTAATTTTGAATAATATAATTAAAAATAAATTATTTATTTAAAATCAATTTTTCATAGGTAATATTTTTATATGTGTAAAAACTTAAAGATATAATTAAGTATAAAAAATATAATATAATATATAAAAGTAAATTAAGAAATTGAGGAAACTTAACATATATTGTTAGTTGTAACTACCCAACATAAATAGAAAATAATGTTAATAACCTTAACTGTTTAGTGAGGGTATTCTTGGCAATTCGAAAGTTTCAAGGAACTACTCTTCCTAAAAAAGAGATTATAGATATAGATATAGATTATAGATACTACATGTTACACGCATGTAAGCTGTGAGGATATTTGCAAAGTTAATTAGAAGTTGGGAGTAGTTTGTAATTACCCATAAGTTGCAGCTAAGATGCTTCAACACACTTTAAATTTGATTCTATGATTCTATCACATAATAAACTGTCATAATTTGTTCAGATTCATGTCAGATCATATTACACGAAATAACTTCGATCGAGATAAAATTTTAGAAGGGTAAATGATAATAATACCTCTGGACGAAGTATACGATCCACCTCAGCAAACAGATCTAGCAATTGGCATCTAGGCTTCTCGTCAAATTCAATAGAGAGAAGTCCTTCGGCATGGACCAGGTCATATGTTCTTGGATATGTCGGAAATGGTTCACACCTGCACAAAGAAAGTCTAATGACAATAAACTAAGGACGAATATGCAATAAAACTTTTTTCTTGTGTGTTTCATAAAAGTTACTGGCATGATTAAATTAAGCAGGCATGCTTCTGAAGTGGTTTGGGGCACAAGTGAACTTTATCCAAACTACCACACTCATTGATTTCATAATACAGGAGATCTGACTATCATTTACGTCAATCTTGGCTTTTTCCTCAATGGAGAAGGAAAAATAAGGAATTGCCATAAACAAAAGACCACAGATATTGATATCTGGAGTTAAACTAGGCCAGATCTTAACTAGTAATTTCTTAATATACTCCGAATAAACGGTGCTCCCAAATGAGAATCAAAACTTTATAGGCCATAAGAGCATTTCAATACTACTTGTACAGTTATATTCTCGCAGATAGTTTTACTAGTCCCCGTTTTTGCCACAGTGCACAAGGAAAATGAGGTGTTCAACTTGGACAGTTCTGTAAATGAGGTTCAAGTAATCTGATCACTCAAACAAAGCCTGCTTGGGAGAAGACTTGATTCAAAATCTCTACGTAAGTAAATGTGGGATGCGAAATACATCTGACCTAATTTTTTCAACGATGGAAATACATCAGATTGGAAATCCTAACACAAGAAATACGAATGTGTCAATTCTCTAAAGAGGCAAACATGTTCATGTAAGTTCAGATGATATATAGATAAACCAATTTCGACCTATTATGAAAACTGACCAAGTAGAATCCTACCAAAAAGGAAAAAAAAAAATGGTTCATGCCATCAAGTAGGAAAATAAAAAATTACCAGTCATGCAGCACTCCAACAAATCCTCTGTCGTGTATTAAAGGCAGAGTATTGAGTCCTTTTGTAGGGACCACATTCATCACCCACACAGATTTTCCAGTTTCAAATAAAGCAGCATTTAATCCACCAAAACGCGCATTCATGTCTAACACATTTCTCAGCATGTTGTAAGGTGGTGAAGGATCTTCACTGCCTGGCCTCTTAGGATGATCCGAAAATATCAACGGTGAAAGAAGGGACCAATAATTGCGGACTGCAGTGTTCCAGCTAATAGCATCTTCATTAAACTCTTCTGATTGCAAACCTAACAGAAAAAAGAACTTCATTAGACGTGATCAGACAATAGGTAATATGAGACTTTCAGCTTCAGAATCCTTACAAATGCAAAAGTATAGGGGAAAAAAAACTGAGTCAGAAGCAGATAATAACAAATTCTACTGGTTTCAAACGTCCTAGATATAATAGCATTCAGTTCAACTCTGCCAAGGTACTAAGAAACCATATTATAAGCTCAAATGACTTATACCATAAATTTCTAGTTCAGCTGAGCTTAGTTTAGCCAGTGAGGGCCATTTTCTCCTTTCTTCAATAGGAACCCATCGGCGGCTTTGAGTTCCTCCAATGCACGCCGGGAGGGGTCGATAGTACGGGGTTTCAATGTCATGTCCTTTATTGCAGAGAGAAGGGGATCCACTTTTCCTGAAAAAAGAAGCAAACTTTTTCCTGATTGGGACAACATTTTGTATGAAACATGAAATATCGATGCAGATAATACATTATTTGATTACCAAGAAAAATACTCTAGGTCCAAACACAGAGAGAATTCCTTCACCACTCAATTCCGGCAAAATGTTTCTTAATATTACAAACACACGTATATTACTAATATAGTTCCAGCAAAAATACTCTAAAGACTGTATGTCTTGTATATATATATATATATATATATATATATATATATATATATATATATTCATTTGACATGTAATCTACTCCTCCTAAATACTTTATCAATCTTCCTTGATCTATGTTCTTCTGCTCAAAAAAAATCATTTACTTATGCTATGTACCAAAATGAAAAATAGAAATTTCCGAAAACATTTTACGCAACCCGTTTAAGAATTTTGTGAGTGGCTTATGAACAGAATAATAATACATGCATGCTCGTGGTAGCCTTACCTTGTTGAGTAGCATTTCTTCGTATTAGTCTTCTTCCACACAACAGTTTCGTCCTGCTGTGGCAACATCTCCCAGCAGAGACTTTCCGTAAGCAAACGGACTGTGTTCCATCTTTTTAGGTTATCTTTGTTACGAAGTGAACGCTGAGAATTTGTAAGTGGGTCAGTCCACACGAAATATCCGCCAGGTCTCAACAACCGATCGACTTCAATTAAATATATGCCATCTGCACCACATGAGGTGGTTGATCAGATAACGAAAAAATGGAATCTCATTTATTGTACTTTCTATTATTTTGTATGATGTAGCTATATATCAATGGAGCTTGATCATAATTCTATAGGTTTGCTAGTATAAGTCGGGGATTTTCAAACTAAGCTTTGTTTGTTGCAGTTCTTTTGATATACAGAAGAGGATGAGGCTCACTGTAGACTGATTTTTCAAGCCCTTGCATGTTGTTCCTCTTGAGATGCAGTCATTATTGGCTAGATGATGTTCTCAGCCCTATGTATAGGCATGAAATCAGTAATATAATATTGCAGGCAGGCATGAAGTGGTTAGAATATCAAGAGAGTGTGATAATGAAGAATTCTCTCTTTAGTATTCAATCTGACAGGTTATATCCATAAAACATGTTAGTGAGAGGCTTGTATGGGACGGTGCTGAGAACTAGTTTCATATGCTTATCACGTAAAAAGGAGTGTTTGGTACGCATTTGACTCTTCAAACCCCCGTAACCAAAACGAAACAAAATTCTTCATGTGAAAACTAATTTTCCAACTCGGTTGTCATCAGAAATTCTATCATATCAACAAATTACAAAAATCACCACAAGCATAGAAATTTTCAAAAAAATTCCAACATTTTAACTCAACCACTTTTTTTAACTCAACTTTAACTCAACCTCACTATCATCAATATTATCAATATAATCAAATAATATCAACCAATCATTCATACACACCACATCATAATTCACTATTCATCCACTCACATTATTTTAACTAATCATCACTTCAAATCATCTCTCTCCTACTTTTACATCAAATCAATTTTAATTATTTTGTTTTAAATATTATTTTAATATGCCAACTAACAACTAACCATACCACATTTTTCAAAATTAACCAAACCAAACCAAACCAAAATCCAAACAAAACCAAAAATTTCTATAAACAAGCATGCTCTAACATTTCACACTAGCTATTATACAACAATTTCTAGGGGCCTTCCTGCATATACAAGGCTTATGAACAAAGATGGAAAGAGAAATAAATATCAGAGAAGAGAAGAGAAACATTTCTAGGGGCCTTCCTGCATATACAAGGGAAGAGCAGAGAAATATTTGTTAATATGCATAACAACAACACATGTTTAAGAGGAAGCACGGAGTTGCATTTAATCATTCTATACAAAAAATTAAACTAATTTAAAAAAGATAAATTACCTTTTTTGTCCCATTCAATGCGACATCTTGCACAATGTATCATGTCAAAAGAAAGGGATGGATAAGGCAACTGCTTTGAAGTAAAAGAACCAACCATAGCAGGAAGACCTCTTTCTAAAGTTAGCTGCACTTGACTGCCTGATGCCTCATAATTCGCTACACACATGGTCAATAACTGTTTGGACGATAGATAGGCACCAAAACTACCATAGCCGCATTCAATATCAAGGATGGTCCGAACCTGAAATAGAGCATTCAGTCACTATTATAATCTCGAACACAGTGAGCGCGACCCACATTACCACATAAAACAAACTTCTCCACACAAGTTGATACAGATTATCTTCTGTCAGATTAAATGAACATCACTAGTAAGAAAATGATAGGTTGTTAGATATAATAGGTTGCTTTTGAGTTAATGTTCACAAGACATTTTGGAGGAATCAGCTGTACCCAACATGACAGGAAGTAGTACTATCATTTACAAGAGAGTAAATCCAGCAGAAAATAAGTACCACAGAACATATCATGACAACATTTGCATAATCAAATGTCATTGACGAACTCGATGACTCTTCACAGCTATACTTAACAGAAACTGCAGTCACAAGCAAGTGACCTGAATTTGAAAGGTGATTCCGACACCTTTCAAATGTTGGGACGCACTATTTTGCAGGATTCACTTGTCACAAGAAATGCTAGCTATTAACTCCAATAAATGCAATCTAATAAACGACGGGAAAAATGAGGTTTATGTAACTAAATAAGACACAAGTGTTCAATCAAACAAATATATACATACACACATATGTATATAAGAAAAAATCATAAATTCTTCCACTAACTCTTCTTTATCCAACTCCATCCAATTCCACCAATAAATCATTTGAAAACATTTCCAATCGCACCCTAACTCCTGTACAGAAAACAAAAACCACATACATCTTATGACACCATTTGCGTTAAAATTTCATTTACTAACTCGATGGCTCTTTTACAGCTTTACTTCAGGAAAACTGCACAGTCGTGACCTCAAATGTAATTCATACACATTTCACATTTTGGCACACACTATTTTGCAGGATTCACTTGTCACATGAAATGATAGACATGAAGTCCAATAAATGCAATCCAACGAACAATAGGAAAAACCATATTTACGAAACTGAATAGGACACAAATTAAATCAAACAAATATATTATATACATATATAAGATTCACTTACCCCAGCTTCTGTAAAGTAGGATACATTTCTTAGCCCAATAATTCCTGCAATTTGGTGCGAGTAGTCTTCGACATCAAAAGTAGACGATACTGAACGGAACGAAATCTGATCTTCATCCAACATCATCATTCTATAGTGACAAGACAGAGATTAACAATATATACAAAAAAATACCATCCCCCAACCCCTGTTTGAATAA